TCTAACGACACCCATGTTCATCACACTTCTCACAACTTTCCAAACAGTCTCAAGGAGGCAAGAGTAAACCCTCTCCTAAAGAAACCCACTCTCAACCCGTCTGATGTTATAAACTACAGGCCTGTCTCTCTCCTCCCGTTCCTGTCTAAAACACTTGAACGCGCTGTCTTTAAACAACTCTCCTGTTATCTCCATCAGAACAACCTTCTGGATCCGCACCAGTCTGGTTTCAAGGCAGGTCACTCAACAGAAACTGCCCTCTTTGCTGTCACTGAGGAACTGCACACGGCTAAAGCAGCCTCCCTCTCCTCTGTCATCATCCTTTTGGACCTGTCTGCTGCATTCAACACGGTGAATCATCAGATCCTCCTTCACACTCTCCAAGAACTTGGAGTTGCAGACTCTGCACTTTCCCTCCTCACCTCATACCTCAAAGACCGCACCTACAGGGTAACTTGGAGAGGGTCCGAGTCCGACCCATGTCAATTAACTACAGGGGTCCCTCAGGGCTCTGTTCTTGGTCCCCTCCTCTTCTCCCTGGTCTCGCATGGTCTTTCATACCACTGCTACGCTGACGACACCCAATTAATTCTGTCCTTTCCCCGCTCAGAGACCCAGGTCGTCGCACGCATCTCTGCTTGTCTAGCTGACATCTCTCAGTGGATGTCTGCTCACCACCTCAAGCTCAACCTTGACAAGACTGAACTGCTTTTCCTTCCGGGAAAAGATTGTCCCACTCTTGATCTAACAATCAACATCGGCACCTCTGTTTCCCCGACTCAGACTGCAAGGAATCTGGGTGTGACCCTAGATAACAAACTGTCCTTCACTGCAAACATCGCTTCTACAACCCTCTGCTGCAGATACACGCTTTACAACATCAGGAGAATACGTCCCCAGCTGACCCAGAAGTGACGCAGGTTCTGGTCCAGGCTCTCGTCATCTCACACCTAGACTACTGCAACTCCCTCCTGGCTGGTCTACCTGCATGTGGCATTCGACCTCTGCAGCTCATCCAGAAAGCAGCTGCTCGTCTGATCTTCAACCTTCCTAAATTCTCCCACACCACGCCGCTCCTTCGCTCCCTTCATGTTGCGAATGGATCTGGCCATTCCCACATCCAGGACATGGTTAAACTGTACACCCCAGCGCGTGCACTTTGCTCTGCATCAGCCAAACAGCTCGCTGCACCCGCACTGCGAGGGGGACACAAGTTCCCATCAGCAAAAACACATGGGTTTGCTATCCTGGCTCCAAAATGGTGGAATGAGCTCCCCATTTACATCAGGACAGCAGAAAGCCTTCACATCTTCCGGCGCAGACTGAAAACTCATCTCTTTCGACTCCACTTCGAGCGATAGAATTACTAACAAAGCACTTATATACTAATAAAGGACTGGCTTATCTAAAAGGCAGTTGAGTAGCACTTGAAATGTTTTAGCTCTATGAAACCTGATGTACTTATATGATTCTGTTTTCTTCAAGTTTGTATTTTGTTGGTCGAACGCACTTATTGTAAGTCGCTTTGGATAAAAGCGTTAGCTAATTGCAATGTAATGGTAATAAGAATAAGAGCGTTGCGGTGATGAGGGAGAAATAAGCATCGAAAGGGCTCCCTCGAAAAGAAGCAATGAGAAAATAAGCTCTGTGATAAACAGACATTTATTATACTTTCATCTTTTGTTGAACAGGATCATCTCCACATTTCAACAGCTCTTTTATAATTGTTGAAATGTAAATGCAATGGACAGAATTGAAATGCTAACATTAAGCTAGAAACAAATTACATCACAGTCCCATGGCTGCGCATCACCACCGCTAAGCTAAAGGTGGCTAATGTTTGATAGTCTCATATAGTGATGTCAACTTTACATTGTAGGGTACCTAAGTACATTTACTTAAGAACTTGACTTAAGTACAGGAGACGTGGTCAGACTAGTTCATTTCCGGGTTTAAGCATCCTGCCCCACTCTATAGGAGGTCACTGTGGGGCAGAGCTTTAGAAACATCGTGCTACCTTAGAGAGCCTGGCGAGGGTGCGCTCCGTTTCCCTCAGAGTGCGCAGGCAGGAGCTGTAGTGCGCCTGCAGAGCCTCTCCCTGGGCCTGCTTCTGAATGATCAGCTTTCTGGAGGTGGCCCCGTCCATATGGGACCAGTTCAGCTGCATAGTTAGCTTCTCATTCTCCTCCTGCTCTTCATTGGTGGATCTCTTGTAGCCTTCAATCTCTCTGTCCAGCAAGATCACCTGGTGCTCGACGGTGCTGAGGGAAACAAGAGCAGCAGTTAGGAAATAATAGATGCCTAGTCAAAAAACAACAACAAATTAAAATAACATTTCATATGATATTCTCCTCAGTGTATTCAATTGAACCAACCTCAGTCCTTATCCAAACTACCACAAATTGATAAATGTTCAGAAAGTTAACCCTTTGAATGCCAATCAATTCACAAAAAGCCACTGCTGTTTTTTCATGAGAGGGCTTCAGCCAGATTATTAACATTAGGTTTGAAGCACTTGATTTGTTCTGGAAGAAAACCAGAAAGAACGCATGCATATCTAAAATGGCAAACATGCGAAAGTGAGGCACAACGATTTCCTCTCAAGTTAGTGTTGTGTGTCCTACCAACAGTCTGTCACTGCAGAGCAGCACCACCCAAAGGTGCTGCTCATGAAGTGTGTCTCCTGCTGGGAAATTAGTCACATGTCCGTTTCGAAGGCATTAGCACATTTGAAGGGGGCTCAGTGGCTTATTGATATTCAGTCTCCTCACCGCACAGCATCCTGCATGGCGCTGAAGGCCTCGTCTCGTCTCCTCATGCCCACCAGGCTGCCGCTCCACTGCTGCAGCAGCTGGTTCCGCGCCAACACCAGAGACTCCATTTCCATCTCGGCCTGCACACAGAGCATTGGGAGTGGACATGTGTCAACACTGATCTGGTGTATATTCTTATAAACATGCTGTGTACTGCGCCAACATAAGAATATGAAAATATGCACACAAAAAAGATTCTTATTTATTTTCATGCACTCTCCTTCTTGTTGTCTCTTTCTTTCTCCGTTGCTTTCATATTGTTTGATTTGCTGTTATTGTTATCATTACTGTAGTTCTTTGACAGATGCACTAAATGACAGTGCTTGCTTAAAGACGCCTTTAACATACAGGTACATACTGTGTTGTGCCATCGTGCCATAGTTACCTCAGAGAGAGCCTCTTTGGCTGCATGCGTCTCCTCTGCCTGAGCTTTGGCCTGGGCTTCATACATGGCTATCTGCTCCGTCAGCCTCTCCTTGTCCTTTGTAAGACGCTCCACATACAAATCCTGATGACACAGGAGTATTGTTTATCCATAACAGTATATTCAACAATGACAATGTATATGACAGTCAACACTTTGAGAGATCTGCAGCAGACTGCCCACCTGCTGGAACTTCTGCTCTTCGGCCTGGTTCTTCTCAGCTCCTGCTTTGCGTCTGGCGTTCTTCAGGGCTTTGACATTGGAGCTCAGATCTTCGCTGACTCCTTGTGTGAAGACCAGATGCTGCAAGAGGTTGTCTATCTCCGCCTGTAACTGGGACGCTATGGAGAAGACACAAAGTCAATTTAATACAATGCCTTAAAGGGACAGTTCACCTCGCAATCAGAAATAAAAATAAATTCTGTCATCTATTTGAATATTTATAATTTTTTGGTGTGTGTTGCCAAGTGTATAAGTTACCATCTTTCTCATATTATAGAATAAGACGGCACTCAGTTTGTATTGCTTGAAGAGCCATGAAATCTTGGTTACTCAAAAGAATCCACAGATTTTTGAGGGCAGTTTCATGGAGGAACAGTTTGCTATCTATTTGTTTCCCTCTCACAGTGCAATAGAAAGTGTACCTCTACTCATGGAGGTGAGGCTTTTAACATCACGAGATATAAACATTAATGGCCTCCACCTGCCTCTCATTCATGAGTTGATGCACGCTTCATTCTGCCCTGTGATACAAAAATAGAAAGAAAATAGTTCCTGAAACTGCTCACAACATGTTCTGTGGATACTTTGAGTTACCGTTTCATGATTTCTGCAGAAGAAGAGACATTGCTTTTGTGTGATTCTAATCTTTATTCTTTGGCGCTTTGAGATAAACAAGCATAAGTATAATCTTGTTCCATTATATACAAGGCAGACAGCTGTTTCACTTCTTAGAGATGATGTAGTCATCTTAAGCAACAAAAGTGAAGTTAAAATAGTCTCAAACTCTATGCTCTTGGCTGTGTCTTTACTTCGTAGACATGGCTGCTCACACAAATATGTGTTGCTGAGTATTTGAGGTATGTAATAACACAGGAGTAGCTTCAGCTTACTTCACCAAGATGCAGCACAGAGCGCTACAGGAACTCATTCCTGCCTGCAGCATCAGACTGATTAACCCCACCCTCAGGCAAGCTGAGTCAATAGACTGGCACTGGACTTCCCTGTCAGCAGCCAAACCCTTTTATTCAGAAGAATTATTATCTTATTTATATTAATGCGTCACAATTTACTGTGTATTTTATTACAATGTGCACAGTTTTACTCTCACTTATGTACCGGTACATTTTTTAAATTGTATATTTTTTTGGACATCTATCTTTAAAGGTCCCATGTCATGCTTTCCCGGTTATTACCTGTCCCCTTGTGTGTTATGAAGGTTTTTATGCATGTAAACGGTCTGCAGAGTCACAAACCCTTGTTTGCTTCCTGGGTTCTGTGACGTGTGAGCACCTAAACCTAAACAGCAAATGACCGGATTGGCCCACATGGACCAATCCGCGGAGCACCTCACACACCAGGATCCCTTGGCTAACTAACAGGGAGTCCCATTGACTTGCATAGAGCTCCCTGGTTGGTAATAGACGAGTTGGGATTGCGGAGAAATGCTCTCCGCAGACCCATTCTCACAGCGTTATAAACTTTTTTCTTACTCAATATCAAGCCACACTTATTGTTTTTACTTCGGCTGTGAGTGTTTGTGTGTGCTCAGGATGAGTTTCGCTGTATCGCCGACCTGGAAACCTGTCCACTCCTCGCAGCAACGAGCCTCGCAACGTCCCGACCAATCAGAGCACAGTGGGCTCACAGGGAGGGGGGGGCAGGAGCTCCAACAAGCCGTTTAGGACAGAGAGTGAATACACATACTATACTGTACAGAGATGCTGTATGAGAAACCAATGTGAGTTTGGAAAATTGCACAATTTAAATCTATTCTAGTAGACCTCAACAATGGAATTATGATCAGTAGAAATGGCCATGACATGGGACCTTTAACTTTTCATGTTTATATAAATATCTTTGTTTTGTATTCTATTTGTGTATCTTTTAATCTAAGATGGAGCAACTTGAACAAAACCCTAGGGATAAATAAAGTATTCTGATGTTTTAATTCTGATTTTAAAGGCTAAGAATATATATTTTGATATTAAAACATTGTGTCAAACATGACAATCAACATGGATTTACAGTGGAATAATGGATGTAATAGTTCAACACAGTTAAAAAGATCCTGGATCAACACCATGCAACAGCAGCAAATGACACGTCGGGCTCACCGTTGGCTTTGTCCTTTCTGTCTTGGCCGGTGATATTGGAATACTGTCTCTTGATCTCCTCCAGCTGATGCCTGGCCTGCTGACGTTTGGCCTCCGCCTCGGCCTTGGTGTGCTGACGCTCATCCAGCCTGGTCTGCAGCCGGGCCAGCTGCTCCTGCACCCCGTACATCCCAACTCCCAACGCCTGAAGGTGCTTATCATCTTCCTTCTCATTTGCCAGCTGCGGAGAAGGGGAGCAGTCAGGAATCAAAAAAAGTATCATCAAGATGTCAAACCGGTTCTTTGCGCATTCAGACACTCTGTCACAGATATATTGCTTCAGGAATAGAAATTAGGTTCTTTTTTTAAATGATTGCAACCCTTTAAAGGCTGGGTTTTAAAAATGTACGTAATGTATCTTGGAACAAATATCAGAAGACATATCTTTCATTTCTCGCTGTTATGTGAAATACACATTGTTTCTTTAGAATGTACTAATGTTTATTACCTTTATATGTTCACTTCATATTTTTAAATGCTGCTACTTATTTGTTACTGTGGTGTACTTTGTATTAACGTCAGCATGCCTCTTTTTTAATATGTAAGTCTACTCCTTTTATAATTGTCCGTTATCTGAACTGTGGGTTTGCAAATGTTCCTGATGTTGGACAAATAAAGGATTTCTAATTCAGATTCTGAAAAAGATAAGGATCAACAGTGCCATCTCCTGGACACATTGAGACCCTACAGGTGTGCATTTGAAAGGGAAACTTAACCTGAATGTGTGTTACATGTTTCTTTGTTCCTATACCTATGTCTGTGAGTGTAATTGAGGCAAAGCTGAGGGGGCTAAGGACAAACAAAAGAGTAAAGAGGTACAAAAATGTTTAATGTTGAAATAGCTGACCTTCTCCTTCAGTCCCAGGTCGATCCTCTCCAGCTGATTACTGAGCTGTCTGTTCAGAGCAACTTGTTGCCTTCTGACCAGCGGCTGCCAACACAACAAACATGGCATTAATAACATATCAGAGGGAAGCATATCTAGCATTATCTTTACAAACACCAAACCAGCAGCTCAATTTAAAATGTTTCAAATGCAACTGCTTGACTCACTAGACTCACAGATCTTTCTTACGGACCAGAATCACAAAGTTAAAGGTCCCATGTCATGCTTTTCCGGTTATTACCCGTCCCCTTGTGTGTTATGAAGGTTTTTCTGCATGTAAACGCTCTGCAAAGTCACAAACCCTCAAAGCACACCCTGTAGCGAGTAAAACTCTAACACAGAAAAGACCTGTCTATGCTGCCCCAGAACGCCTCGTTGGAGATTTATCTTTTTCCATTCCTGGTATAGTGACGTAACGGTCATAGTGACGTACCGATCTCCGCACACACACACAGCCATGGAGTCTATGTGTGTGCTCAGGCTGAGTTCCGCGGTGTCTCGCTG